CAAAACAGAACGAGCAAGAATATTCTTCAGTTCAGCCAGTGGATGCTGGAGTCAAATACCCATAGGGACTGAGGGAAAAGAGACTTGACAGTAGCTTTGAAAGGATGGAAGAAAGCAGCGGTTGTTCGTGCAGCTAAAAGATGAGGAGCAAGCAGAGTTATACACCCCAAACTGTTTAATTGTTCATTCCAAACAAAATTATTCTTTCCTGGCCAAAACCCAGGCTACCAGAGCATCCCACCATGGGACAGGACAATCTATCTGCCTTTCTGGTCAGCTTTCAGTTGCCTTTATTTTAGCATATCATTCAACCATGTATTTACAGTGTTCCCCCCTCTTCTTGTCGTGCCATTATTTGTATGAGCCCTGATCTATTTTGCCTGCCTTCCCCCAATACCAGAAGCCAGTGAATTAGCACAGGTAATTCAGAATAATAAAGACGGTCTGAGACAAGTCTGTTTTATGTGGTTTTGCCTGAGCAAATGCAGTAAAGCTCTGACTGTGCGCTGATTTAAGTGTTGGTGATTGTCTCAAATTTTCTGTTTCTTATTTCAGCTTCAGAAATATTTTTTTCCCCAAGGATTCAACCCCAATGGAAATTTAAATGCAACAGTTTCCCCAGGGATGGGCTATGATACATGGAGTATTTAGGTATTTGCATGCCATATGCTTCTGAATTTCCATCAGCTTTGGAGGTTTATTGTCTTCCGAGGGAAAATTCTCACTTTAAGACACAGAGGAGCTTTCCTTTTAGACCTAGAACTACAAACTAACTATCCTTTGTCCAAAAAGAAAAAAAAAAAAAGACAGATAAAATGAAAACAGAAAAATAATGTTTTCCAGCTTAGCATTGGGAAGAGTTGGTAACCACAAAAGAGATATATTACTGAGGAGCACTGAGTGAAAAAATCTGCTGAACACCTGAAAACTTCTAACAATAGGCCAACCACAGCATTATCTGCCCCAACCACGCCACGCTCTGCATCCCGTCTACATCCTTCACAGCTACTGACACAGAACTGCAGAGAAGATACGGAAAGGAAAAAAGACTCGCCACCAGCTCTGGACTGAACATGTTTTCATTCAAATGATTCTTTAAAAAAAAACACAAAACCTTACCCCAAACCCATCACCATGTCTCTGTTCGCTGCTAATTAAAAATAAGACAGCTCTGCGACACAGCCCATGTGATCTACCAGGACTTTACAACCCCAACGTCCCAGAATGTGTTTTGAATTACTCCATGCTTATTGTAAACAGTTGAAATTGTCATCCCAGGATTTGGTCTATTTATGATGCACTGCAGCTAAATCCTCTCCTCCCTTCCCCCTTCCTGAAAATCTTTTGAAGCTTTGATGCATCTCAGAGTAACAGATGACACAGATATGAGTCTGCTGCTGCCACCCAACATTGTTTATGGCATTGTACTCCCAGAAAGCCATCAAAGGGCCTCTGGTGAAGCCTGATTATTTCTATGTAACAAAGTTTTCCATAAAATCCAGAAAGATATACAAAAGAAACTTCACCCATCTTTCAAAAGATTAATCTCCCCATGCAATTTTTGTTTACAATATTTAAAGCGTATATTTTGGAAAGAGGCAATAAGGAAAGTGCTACTACAGGGCACAGTCAATAGTTCACATGGATGCCGCATTTTTTCATAACCTGTCTCAACAGAATGGTTTATACATCTCTTTCTTGAACCTCCAAAATTCCACAAAGAATGGATTTCCTCAGGCTGTCTACTACTGTTTCCAAAGGCTATCTTGTAGAGTCAAAAGAGCCTCTGTCGCTGCTGCAACCAAGCACCTGTGAGGCAGAGATGTGCCATTATCTCCATTTACAGATGAGCAACCGCAGCACAGAGAAGCCAATTGATTTGTCCATGATTATATGGAAACTCTACAGCACACACAAGATTTAACAAGTCCTGCCAGAGCCATAACTAATTCCCTCCTAAATCAAATCTCTTCAGGTTATAAATATGCCAACCTCCATGGCATCCTGATCCGCCTCTGATTTCAGTGTCCATCCTTGAATTAATAATAAAATTTGAAAAAACAAATAAAAGGCTGAACATCTGCTAGAGCATTTTCTCTTTGTCCAGTTGAGACATGGTTATAGTTGTCTATGTATTATTTAGCGTCTGGTTCTAAGTTGTACAAAACTAATAATTAGAAGATAAAGAAAAGCTATCGGGCAACCGTGTCTTCATTCTAGGCAAGAAAAACCTATGAAGGTTTAGGTATTTAAAAACTCAGAAAAATCCAAATCTTATTCTTTGAAATGTAGAGATAGCAAAACTTTGCCAAGCAGGTTTCAATAAAGGAGCAAGAATGGTCTCCACTTCACATCAAATCATAGAAAATGTGGCTTATGAGACCTGAGAGGTTCCTGCCCCTTGTCAGGATCAATGATACCTTTCTCATTAGCAGCTTTTTCTCTGGTTTTTCTGAAAATCAAGTGCACTCTGAGATATTTCAAAGCTTCCCTTCCTCACTATATGCATGTAAATACACTCTTTTCTCATTATCTTCATTACAGAGCTCTTACTTGCTGCCTTGTAAGGCCATTCTTCTTGTCCTTGTTAGACGAGGAGCATATCTAGCAGTGACACAGAAACTAATTACTCCCTCTTACTTTCCTGCAGCCTTTTTCATACTAGAAGATTTATCATGCCTCTGCCCAGCCCCTTCTCCTCTAGACTGACAGTCCCACTTTTTTGGTCCTTACCACGGGCCATGGTTTCACACCTGCAACCATTCCCTGCACTCCCTCCTGTCTTCTCCCCAGGTGATCCTTCCCTCATTTCTTTTCATGGCTGTTTTCCTTCCTGGTAATTATTCAAGGAGGATCCAGAATGAAATGTGTGCAGCCTCCAGGGCTGCAATCTCCTGTGAGATGCAGTGCCTCAGTGGCCTGATCTACAGCCTCCCACCTACACTCATGAGCACTCCCACCGCTACATTATTTGGATCCCACTGTTGCTCTTCAGCCATTGAACACTCCTGGTTATTTTCCCAGAAAACAAGAAGTCCAATGTTTCATTGAGGTATGCACCTAAACTACTGGGTTGCCACTCTTTTATAGCCCTTGGAAAAAAAAAAAAAAAGGCTTAATGCTGCACCAGGTTACATATTTAAATGAAATTATGAAGTTCAGCACCACGTTACATATTTAAATGAAATTATGAAGTTCAACAACATGAGTGTATGAAACTGCCTGTTAAAACGTGACATATCGCACCAGACTCCTGGTTTTTGTATTCCTGAGTCATACAAGTCAGCAGAATGCAAAGAGGAAGGTTTCTGGAAAGGTTCATTAGTGTCTCTATAAATAGCAAGCGTTTGCCAGATCTGGGTACTACTTTGCTGTATCTCAAAGTGCCAGCGAACACGGTATGTTTAGAGCAGGACTTTGAAGCATGGGAGGAAGCCAGAGTCTTCTGGCAGGTTTAAAAGTATATGTAGTCTTTTTGGAAGTTTTCATCCAAGTTTATCAACATATAAATAAAGTCTCTGCAGGGGTTCCCCCTACTGCGCTGATTTCCTGAAATGATGAGGGAAGGAACGTTTTTGAGCCATATCACAAAGTTTAAATGGGAAGTCTTGCTCACCAGAAGAGAAGAGTTTCAGAGAGGAACTCAGGTGGTCAGGGTACACAAGTAAATAACATTTGAGGGCTGAATGAATTGGTTGCACTTAGACAAAGAATTAGGAAGAGCAAAGATGTCACGTGCGTGCTCATTCCCAGAGGGACTCTTGAGCAACTGCCTCTGAACTGCCTCAGCCGAGGGATGCTGCACCATTCCCCAGACAACACTTACTTGCCTTTACATAGAGACTCAGATTTTAAAGAAACCTAAATGTCATGATACATTTGATAAAGAAGGTATATCAACTGCTGCCCCAAACAACTCAATCAAATTTCAGTTTGCGAACCGAAATTCACAGATAAGAATACTTTGCACATACAAACTTTACCTGAGGCTAAATACGTGGCACGAGTTATTTCTTTCCTGTGTACCAAGGCTGTGACGGTGACATTGCATCAAAAGACAAGATACAGCTCCCTAAAATTGAAGAAGCGAATTTGCACATTCTGAGAGATGCAGAGGAATGATTTTTGTGGGATAGGTAAAGACGGCAATAAATTGCCGTAAGACTTTATTTTATGCTGAATAAATTTCTCACTAGCTCAGGGTAGACTGTCAGGTGCCAGACAGCACACCAGAAGAACAAATCATGGAAGTAATTTCACTATTGCTCTTGAGGAACTTTGGAAATTGTTACTGCTATGACAAGAAAATATACGCATACAATATAAAAATGTAAAAACATAAAATGGCACAGCGGCTGCTGAAAAAGACAAGCATTCTGTGGTATTTCCAAATCATTTGGTTTGTTTGTGACGGCTAACATAAGTATTCACATTCAGCTTGAGTAATACACTTTGGTGAGACACAGCTCTGTGTTTTACCAGCAATATATTGATTTGACTTTCACTGAGAAAGATAAAGATTTTGCTGGAAAAACAAACTAACATTGCCTTTGAAGACTTCAAGCAGAGACTGGGCTCTTTGTCTAAATTGTTTAGTAATGAAGGCTGTGAAGAATTTTTTTGATATTTCTGTGCAAAGAAAAAATTCAAGCTCCCTTTTCTACCTGCCCAAGATTATTAGAATTATAGGAAATATCATTCAGCTTGAACACACAAGAATGGGGGAGCCCTATAAGACACTTATTAAATATACATCAGCCAAAATATCTGTAGTAGCTGATCCTGTTGTAATTTTTAAGCTCTTTCATGATGACACAGATAATATCCGCACTTTCAATGACTGAATGCTGTTTTTATTTCTTTTACAGTATGCTGGGTTTTTTTCCACTGCCTAGTCCTAAAATTAGAACAACTCTATCTCCATATATGAAGTTCATGACATTGGCAAGTATGTTACAAGGACACACTGATAAAGTCTCTGCTTCTAAATGTAATTCCTTCCTAAGAACATGTCCTAGCGAAGCAGAAACATTGATAGGAATTTCACTCAATGGTATGTATCTTCCCTCTCAACTACTTGATCTTATGATTTGATTTCAACACACAATCTAGCTGTAACCTTATTCAGCCATTTTTTCCTCACATATTATTGCAAAAAAATTTCAAACCATGTTTTAAGAGCTGAATCCTGAGGCAAGGTTGGAAACAGAGTATCTGTATGTATGTATGCATATAGATAGCAATATAGATATTTATATATCTACTATGTCAATATAGATACAGATATACCTACCGGGAAATTCAGCAATGCAGTGGGGAGGCCTCAAGAATCTCTTTTAAGGAAGTGGCTCAAATCTAGCTGTCATTCTCTCCATCTCAGAAATGGCTAAATACTAATTCCTTGAAGGCTGAAATTAGAGTTGATTTCAATTCCACACATAGAGATTTCTTTTTAAATTAGTTAATAAAAGATGTATGAAAGTGTGTTAAAACTAATAAATTCAATTTTAAAAATAAACTGATGCTTGATGATTAAATAGCATATTTGAGAGCAGTAAAAATGTGCACATGAAAGAAAAATGCATAACAGACTAAAATATTATTTCTCAAAATGTTCCTTAAAATAAAGTGTTTTCATGTCAGTGCTAATCTTCCTCAAAGACAGGTGATTGTACTAAACTTGGACTGATTTATATGGCTCATCATATGCTATAAAAATCTCAATTATTGTTCTTCATAGTACTTACAAGCTGTTCTTAAATTGCCTCCAAGATTGTAACAGTGAAAATTCTTGTGCACAACATCACAAACACTCCTCTTTACTTCTTTGAGAGCTAAAATCTTGAATATATTTGTTCCCCTGTTCTGATAACACATGTGATTTATCCACACGTGCAAGACATCCCTCTTCCCCCCAGAACAGCAAACCCCTACTCCCTAAAAGTTGTGCAAACACAAATAACACTTATCCTCTGAAAAGGCCATTACCAAAATCAAATTGATGCCCCATGGCTTGGATTAAACCTTATTCCCATTTTATCTATGGAAAAGGGCAAGACAATAAAAGGGGAGATGTTTGACTGTACAAAGCAAACAAATTAAGTTTCCAGCTTAAAAAACAAAACAAAACAACTGTTTCTATCCATATTTTAAATTTGCCCTCTTGCAGTCTTCCCAGGCTCCTGATGCCTGGTCTCCATAGAGCAGTGGCTTCCTTTCCTCTCCCCTTCCTATGGGGATCCTGGGAAACAACCCTTGGGTCTGGAGGGCTCCCACAGATCACAGTTTAAACCAGTCCAGCCCTATTCTCTTTTTTCCTTTGTAATCAACATACCATGGCAGTAAAGAATTCTGCACTAAACTTGCAATAACAAAAAAGGGAGGGTAATACTTTGAAATCTTTTTTTTGTTGCAATGAAAGACTTTTACAACCAGAAATGCTGAAGTAATACATGGAAACACAATAAAGTATGAAATATAGTACTTTGTGTTTAATTATGGGCATTTAAATTGATTTTACTTTCTCTCTGCAGGGTGTACTTTGGGGGTTTGGTTTTGTTTACTCACTTATTGATAATAATTTACGTGCCCCAATGTATCTCAGTAGCTACTTCAGTAACAAATGTGACATCTCTTGGCAATAAAAGGTTAAAATTCACTTTGCCCTCTGACTATAACAGAAATACCTTTGCAAGCTAATGACTGTAACAGGCTGGTCTGTTCCCGAATAAACATTCTAGGGATTTCCTGAGGTGTTGTTTTGTTTTGTTTTTTCTTTTTTTCCCCCCACATCTTTTTAATTGAGGGAAAAGAATTTGAAGGGCACAATCAGCTTAGATGCTATTTCAGTCACAAATCTGTATATGTTGTCTTTCTATACACTTTTTTAAACTGAAAAAAATACATTTACACAGCTTCTGGATATTCATTTTATAGGAAAAAAAAATCTTTAAAGCTTATCCAACTCATCTCCTTCTGCCAGCTTTCCTTGCCAACTCTTTCTTAGTAATGCCAGTAAATGCCAAAAAAAGTCTGGTTTAAACAATGTTTCTGTCTGTTGAAACCAAGAGAAAGGCAGTTTCTGTTGGAGATACTGGATTTGGGGATCCCACTTTTTCTTCTGCTGCTGAGAATGCACCCTGACCACGTCAGTGAAGGCAGAAGGGAGTGTGCAATGTTAAAACAGTAATATGCTAGAAGTTGCTTTGAGGACAAAATTACACAGTTCCTCTTATTGGCTTTTCCCGCAACAGATTCATTTCCAGAAACTCCCCTCTCCTTTGAAAAAGGCAGATTCAGTATCTGCCAAGGAAACGGTCCTTTTTGGGGCAGGGATACTATGGCTGTTTAGATTAACACATCTAAGAGCCTTTGTCTCCTCCTCACTTGCCAGGAGTTGAAGCAGACCTCCTTCAGCAGCATTACTTTTTCAGAACAAGATGTACTTAATGTGAAAACATCTAGGGAAAGATGATGGAATGGGTGAAACTAAAGTAAATAATGTCATCTTAGAGACACCAGTGTAGGATTTCATCCAAGATTGCTGCCCAAAGGAGCCTGCCATCTCCAACACTCACACAAATGAAGTGTGCCGGAAAATAGCATCCACCAGCGTGCAAAAATGAGGCATCTCAATGAAGATCTGATCCTCCCCTAGCTAGGCAGCAGCTTTGACTAAGAACGATCGCTCCTGTACCCGTTTAAGTGGGCTCAGGTAACAAATATGATCCTTCTGAGTATTAAAATTATCTATAGGCTTCACTTTAAACACAAAGTATAAAATGCTGCCACCTCAGAAGGAGGCAAATCACTCCAGAGAGTGATGACTGGCAGGTTCACCCCAAAAAGACCTTTTTTTGTGCAGGACTGCTGAAGTGCTCCTCAAAGGACATGGTCAGTTGAGAGAGAAGGAGCAAACAAGGAGATGAACCCTGCCAAAAAAACGCCCAGTAGCTCCTGGTGGAGTGAGATGGCCAGAAGAGGAAAGGGGGAAAGTTCATTCAGAAGCAAAATAACGTTGATCCTAAGGCAGGAGACACACTAAGGGCAAAGGAATGAGGGCAGGACCTAAGAGCACTTCATTTCCTGAGAGTGATTCAAACTTCAGAGGAAATAACATATTAGCATCCTGGGAGTTGAGGCACAGGATGAAAAGGCAATGACAAAGCCAGAGTTGGAGATCTAAATGGAGCTTAATGCATTCTGGAGGTGTTGGTTGATGAGAAGCTCAACATGAGCCAGCAACGTACACTCACAGCCCAGAAAGCCAATGGCATCCTGGGCTGTATCAAAAGCAGGTCAAGGGAGGGGATTCTACCCCTCTACTCTGCTCTCGTGAGACCCCACCTGGAGTTCTGCATCCAGCTGTGGGGGCACCAACATCAGAAGGACATGGACCTGTTGGAGTGAGTCCAGAGGAGGCCATGAAGATGCTGGGAGGGCTGGAGCCCCTCTGCTGTGAGGACAGGCTGAGAGAGTTGGGGGGGTTCAGTCTGGAGAAGAGAAGGCTCCGGGGAGACCTTAGAGCCCCTTCCAGTCCCTAAAGGGGCTTCAGGTGAGATGGGGAGGGACTCTGGATCAGGGAGGGGAGCCATAGGACAAGGGGGGAGAGTTTAAAACTGGAAGAGGGGAGATTTAGATTAGATATTAGGAAGAACTTCTTTGCTGTGAGGGTGGTGAGACCCTGGCCCAGGTTGCCCAGAGAAGCTGTGGCTGCCCCTTCCCTGGAGGGGTTCAAGGCCAGGCTGGATGGGACTTTGAACATCTGGTTTAGTGGGAGGTGTCCCAGCCCATGGCAGGGGGTTGGAACTTGATGGTCTTTAAGGTCCCTTCCAACTCTCACTATTCTGTGATTCTGGTTTGCTGAGAAGCAACGAGAGGCGACAAGACCCTTCCTTGGATTCAGTGGCCCCATCAAAGCCACCGTGTGTGTCTAACTTCTGTATCAGGGGAGCAAACACATACCTCAGTGCAACCAGTATCACTAATAGACTTATTACACTGACCAGAAACATCACAAGCACATCCTTTCAGGACAGGGATGAGATCAAACCCAGTAAAAAGCCTGCAGCCTTTGGCAGCACCCCCACCACACACACGTCTCAAAATGGAAATGCATTACACAAATTATCACGAAATGCATTTTGTTTCCAGTCTCACTAAGCCTCATCACTCCACCGTGTCTACAATTCTGTAAATTACAATCGTTTTGTTAAATTAAGCTTTGAACGCTCAATTATACAGCCCAGAAAGCCAATGGCATCCTGGGCTGTATCAAAAGCAGGTCAAGGGAGGGGATTCTACCCCTCTACTCTGCTCTCGTGAGACCCCACCTGGAGTTCTGCATCCAGCTGTGGGGGCACCAACATCAGAAGGACATGGACCTGTTGGAGTGAGTCCAGAGGAGGCCATGAAGATGCTGGGAGGGCTGGAGCCCCTCTGCTGTGAGGACAGGCTGAGAGAGTTGGGGGGGTTCAGTCTGGAGAAGAGAAGGCTCCGGGGAGACCTTAGAGCCCCTTCCAGTCCCTAAAGGGGCTTCAGGTGAGATGGGGAGGGACTCTGGATCAGGGAGGGGAGCCAGAGGATGAGGGGGAAGGGTTGCAAACTGGAAGAGGGGAGATTTAGATTAGATATTAGGAAGAACTTCTTTGCTGTGAGGGTGGTGAGACCCTGGCCCAGGTTGCCCAGAGAAGCTGTGGCTGCCCCTTCCCTGGAGGGGTTCAAGGCCAGGCTGGATGGGACTTTGAACATCTGGTTTAGTGGGAGGTGTCCCAGCCCATGGCAGGGGGTTGGAACTTGATGGTCTTTAAGGTCCCTTCCAACTCTCACTATTCTGTGATTCTGGTTTGCTGAGAAGCAACGAGAGGCGACAAGACCCTTCCTTGGATTCAGTGGCCCCATCAAAGCCACCGTGTGTGTCTAACTTCTGTATCAGGGGAGCAAACACATACCTCAGTGCAACCAGTATCACTAATAGACTTATTACACTGACCAGAAACATCACAAGCACATCCTTTCAGGACAGGGATGAGATCAAACCCAGTAAAAAGCCTGCAGCCTTTGGCAGCACCCCCACCACACACACGTCTCAAAATGGAAATGCATTACACAAATTATCACGAAATGCATTTTGTTTCCAGTCTCACTAAGCCTCATCACTCCACCGTGTCTACAATTCTGTAAATTACAATCGTTTTGTTAAATTAAGCTTTGAACGCTCAATTATACTTTAAAACTGTGTCCTTGAGGAAAGACAGTGCACAAAAGGGACACATAATTTCCTCAAGATGGAAATTGAACACAAACTTTCTGCTACGATATCATAATGATACAGATCATTTTTACCTCATCTACACAAGCTTTCAAAAACAATCGGCAGATTTTTTGGCAGTCATTTTATTTCTAGAAAAATAGCAACACTTTGAAATCCTTTTGCTGTCAAGATATTACCACTGCGTTTAAAAAAAGCTTATTATCAATCCTAAAGATTTTTTTCTTATCAAGCTTTAAACTGCATATAGCCTCTGTGATTTCTTGTTACAATTGTGAGAAATGAGAAATATTCCTATAGAAGAAGCAAATCAACTGGGGTTTGAGTAAATCTTATTGAAGTAGAATTATAATTCAACAACAAAGGCGCCAGGCTTGTTAACAATGGGACTCAGTGGGTCAACCAGCTAAATTTACCTCTTTGTCCCTAAAATATTCACTGAGTACAATTCAATTTACTATGGCTTCCTGAGATAAGGGTCTTCATCACAGCATGCGTCAGCAGCTCTTAGTTTCCATGGTCTTTCCCAGCTTAGAGGACTTTAGTCCTTGGAAAGGCCCCAAGTTCTTCTGCCATCACCTGCAAGCCCTCAAGTGGGTCCTTGCAGGATCTGGGCACCAAGAGCTTGTGGTGGGAGAGACCCTGCTGCAGGAATTGCATTGTGTTCCCTTTAACCCAAGGCAATCACAAGAAGAATTAAGAACAAGGGAGATTCTCCTTTTGCCTGTAAAAAACTGATCACATGTTCATAGCTGGAAAGCAAAGTAGTATTTTAATCCAACACTGAAATTCATACCTTACGCTCGCAAGATCTGTTGCAAGAGACGTGAAATAGCCAAGTATAAACTAAATTAATTCAATATGAAACTGCCTCAGTACAAGCACTTTACAAACCCAGCGTAATGCCACATAATTGCAAGAATTTACTTTAAGATTTTAATACCACGTTAAAGGGTTGCTAGCACTAACTGCACCATTAAGTTCAACATCATTTTTTTCCATTTTATTACAGAAAGTATGATATGTTTGTTTGGGATTGTTTGGTTTTGAGTTGTTTTTTTCTTTCTTCTTTTCCTAAATACCAGTCTGAAAACTCAACGTTAAAGAACATTGCCTCAGCCCCATCACCTTACGGAGGAGCAGGAGAATGGATTCCTCAAGCTCCAATCTGAGACACTACCTCATAGCTGGTGGGTCACGGGCAGCAAATGCACCAAAGCCCTTCTGCTGAGCCCCGTGGTGTACAATTGCTGGCAGAGGGAGGCCGGGTGGTACGGGGAGAAAGAGCTCGCCCAAGACTATTATATCACTGGTGATCTTTGCTGGCCAAGTATGACAAAATTCCTCCCGGCAGCTCAGCGTGATACAAGCTCATGAAAGGGACTTTCACCCTACTGAGGGCTCCAAGATGCTAAAGGGAGGGGAGGAACGTCTGGTGGATGGTTAATATAAAACTACATTTTCTGTTTATTGAAATAGCAATCTCTCTCCATAATATCTGCTATTTATACCGTACATAAACTAGCGCACAAAACTTTACAAACTTAACACACTGTATCACTTAAGCTGAAAATGAAATGGACCGTTTTCTGGGATGAATCCCAATTGCTTAACACTTCCCAGTATGCCCAAGCGTTTCAGGCAGGAAATGAATACTAGTATATCTAGTTGAAACTAGGGCACTGATTCAGTGCAGACAGAGAAAAGAATTTCCCCTACTCAATCACCAACACAAAGTTTTTATTGGTGGTCCCAGCTCCAGGAATTTCTCAAGCCTGTAGCTGCAATATAGGATCCAGCAAGTCCCTAGAAACTTTTTAGAAACGTTGGTAGGCATATGCTGGTTCATAAATGAAATTATCAGATTGATCGATTGGTTAAACACAGTTACGGGGCTGGTTGAGGAGAAGGGAACATGTTTTTCTCCATGAGGACCTCCTCCTGCACAAGATAAGGTGAGAGGGTTGGCTTTAAGCTGCTTTTTCTCACCCAGTGAAGCGATCCAGCCCTAATAGAATAGTCACAGAAATTCAACTGAGTACCAGAGGAGGTGACACGCTCCCTTTCCTCATAGCTTCCATGCAAAAAAAAAAAAGCTATTTCTGAATTAAACAAATGCTGAAGAGTTATTAAATAATAGAGCATATTTGAACTAATTAGCCCCCACAGTGGCCCTACAAGGCAGGGGTATAGGTATCATAAAAAGCAAAAGAAATAACAGATTGTTTACTAGGCTATTAAATTAATGACTACCAGGTTCCTAATTAAAGGCTCAAGGAGCAGATCTCCCAGAGAATTTTATCGAGGATTAGTGCAGTTTCTCACACCACTGAGGCTGCCTGTGCCAAGCTACATTCCCAGCTGATGACACAGCCTTAGCAGCATGCACAGCTCTGCCTCTTATATTCGATACTCATGAGTCATAAAAATATGGAGAGCACTATAAATTCTGTTTATGCCTCTCTCTCTTAAGATATGTAAAACAGCTATGTAAAAGAGCTATGAAAGCTGTCCTCTCAGTCTTCAAAGACTTGTTTAAGCAGCACTGTATGATTCCCCTTAATACAATTGTCTGGAAGTCTAAACTTTGGTAATTATTTCAAATGAAAAAGAACAGCAGGAGGCTCTGTTGAAGGGAATATAAACAATTATCACTTGCACGAAGGCTATGCCAGTTATGAAATAAACTTGAATGGGTTTGCTCTTGAAAACATTGAGCACCAAATTAATTATCTGACATAGCAGGCCTCTCAGCTGTAGTCCATGCATCAAACCCTATATTTGAGTCACGCGAGAACACCGAGAGGAGCAGCAAAGAGGGGAAATGTGAACTGGCAGAGAGATCTTATTAAATTGGGGTCTTTCTAATGGTTGTACCAATAACTTAATAATAATACCGAAGCTGGTGTGCACACCGTAACTCCAGGTGATAGACTGGGCTGTGATAGAAGGTGCTTATCCTGCCAGTTTGCAAGAGAAATGCAGTAACGCAAGAGTATAAAGATAGGACCAAACGGGTAAGACTCATCCCTGCTTGACAGCTTCAATAAGAGTATAAAGATAGATAGGATCCAACTGGTAAGACTCATCCCTGCTTGACAGCTTCAAACATGTTCTAGAATCTCCAGTATTATTCCTGTGACTTTGTAACAAATTTAAAGTTATTTCTTGCTCCTTCCAATGATTTTTTGTTTCAATGGCAAAAATCCCTGTTTCAGTAGGTGTTGAATTAGGGCCTTCCAGTGAAAGCATGAAAAAAACCGCCAAAAAAAAAAAAAGTTGAAAAGAATCAGGGTAATATCAGACACATTTGATAAATCTGGAGAACCATAAAGATAACTAACAGCTGTCGGAACGCATGATACTTTTACAGATAGTGGAGAATTTCACATTGAGATTTAAGTAATCAATGTCCAGAGTGACATACAGATAATGAAGACTCTGATGTTTGTTTGTAAATGCAACCCATAACACCATCCTTCAGGAAGGAGGCAGGCAGCAATGCAAAAGCCACTTCTTTGCAAGCTCAATGAGATGCAACGCATGCTAAGCAGTAAGAAATGGTAATCCTCTGCCACTTTACATGCAGAATCTTTTGAGCTGTGACAAGCATACACTTAAAAACCAGAAGAAATATAGTCTAAGCATATATTTATAGCTGGCATTCATCTTTATCTTTGCATTTCATTGCTAGAGTTTATATTCAAAGTATAACGTAACACTAAGAAAGAAAAAAAGACTGTTGCTACAAGAAAAGGAACTCTGTCTTCTCATCTTTGGTTTCTCCTTTTTTGAATACACTTCTTTAAGATTTTGCTTTGCAAACCTGATTTATACCAGCCCAGCTAAAGGAAGGAAGCTGATTCATGCTACCTCAGAATCTGTCCTTGAAAACTTAAACTTGGTGTTGCAGTTTTAATGTTGTCTGAATCCACCCCCATTTCTCCCAAGAGAAAATGAATTTCTGTTTTATTTGTATTTGAAAGTTATCGGTGTTGGAGTCATAGCTGTTCTTCATCAGTGAACCCTATGCAGGTCTTCCTATCTTCTCTGCTCTACTCTTTTCCTTCACTTCACTCTAACCCCAACAGCAACAAATCCAAATCTCCTGGTGTGTAGAGAACCATCCAGCATCTTCCACTGAGCGAGAGGTCTCACTCTCAGCAAGGCTGGGGAGAGGTGCTTTTTCCAATATATTTTTCATATATTGAGGTCAGTGGCAGTGCTTTAAGAGAGTCAGGTGAGACTCACTGGAATTCAAGTGGATTACGGGTCTAATCCATTGACAGGTATATTGTGTGCATCTCCTTAAACATAGTTAATTACTTTTAAGCAGTAACGCAGCAAAATTTGCTCACTCAAATTTAATATTAAAAAAGATATTCTCTTCATCATTTGAAAACAACCTGGACTGACAACTTGCACCCCCAAGCAACCTAAAGCATTTCAGGGCTTTCCAGCTTCTCATGTGGCTCGTCAGAAACCACACACAGCTCCATACTGCCTGCCCCAAGGTCCTTCAACACCAGCTCAGCTTCAGCTACCTTCAAATTTCTCTTTATGAATGGCAACGGTGCCTTGACTGGAGACTATAGCTATGTATGGAGCAGTTTAATATTGTGGATACAGAGCATCCAGAGCTCAAATGGATACAGAGATCAGAATTACAAGAGTATGTGCATAAGTATGAAAAGATGCCAAGCATCACCCTGTAAGGAGAGTTGCACCTAACTTGCTCGTATGCTTTTAACAACTGCATAGGATTAAACCTTTCACAGCACTTGGTTAACCTCATGATTATATTTGAGTCCTTGCAGGTGGCAGCAATGGCATTAAAGATCCTGCACAGCCAAGACCAGAGGAAAACCCCATGCCTGAGTGACAGATGCCACAACCTGAGGACTCTGTGTCTACTTGCATAATTGATCGTACCATATATGCACAAAAGGCCTTCAATTTCCCAGAAACTTAATGCATTTTAAGATCTGGACTGAAACCTAGATCCACAGCCAACTTCATTAATGAGCGTGTCACTCCGGGAGAATGAATGTCAGCCCAGGGCAATGCCACGCTGGGATCCCCCCCAGTGCTACAGCTATTTCATGCTTGCCCTGGGCTGGTCTCTGACAGGGAGAGTTTCACCACAATTACAACCTTTTAAGCATAGAGATGGAGCCAAGAAACCCTTCATGCCCATGTGAAACGCCTCCCACCTAGAGCTTTGTCTCTCCAAGAGAAGGCACGTGCTTCAGGCTCAGGTCTACCACCACCAATATTACCTGACCTGCAGCTCCTGTGGTGCAGGGATCTGGCACACATTAACCAGTGTGTGTCCCTAACAGGGTGTGAGGATAAAAGCTGAAGCCAAACAGATGGTCTTCTAAAAAAATCTTCCCTAAAGTGTTCTGTGTACTAAAACATCACTTGCCCAACTCTCATCGAACTTGGCTTGATTTGCAAGTCTCAAGCCAAGTCTGAAGAAAAATATTCAGCTGGAAACATGCGGGGAAAAGAGTCTCTTTCCTGCACTTGAATAATACAAAAATGAAACAATTTTGTTCAAACCTTAGAAAAATTTAAGAAAAACAGGACCCAACCCTCTTGGGTGTAAACCAAGCACTGGAAAAAGAATGGACACAGAATGCAAATTGATGAATACATGAAAAAAATGAAGTGGAAGGAGAAGTGGAGCTATATTGTATGATGACCTATCAACACATTCTATAATGCACCCAAAATTTCAGCGAGGATGGAAATCACATCTGCACTGGATACGGGCAGCTGTTGTTTGAAAGCACAGAGCAACGTTGCACAACACGTCAGGGTCCCGACGCCCCTGTCACAAGCCCACAAATGCAGTTCCTCAGCAGTAGCCCTGACCAGCAACAACGGGATACTCAAAATAGTAGCCACTAATTTTAGCAGCATGTTCAGGATTAGCAACGGGATCCTACATCCGGTTAATAAAAGAATGCAACTGGGCACCGTTCAAAAATTCCAACTGAAAATTATCTAAATTTTCTGAATTCAACAGGAGATGTCAGGAGAAATGTTAACAACCACTAACTAGATGAACAGCATCGTACAGTTGCAAAAGCATACATGCATTTCCATATTAACTTCTCTTAAGTGCACATATTTTATTTTTTAGATGTTCCTCTTTTTAAACAAAAAAAGAAGCAACAGCATTTCTGAAATAATTCTACCACAATGAGATCCTGGTCTTGATCTCATACAGCTTTGACTTGGAGTGGGGAGGGCAGGGAGAAAATTGATCTGCCTGGTAAATTATAGGTTATCTCTGGAAACAAAACACTACATTTATACTTAGGGAAGCCCAAATTCTTTAAATATAATTTGATTACATGTCTGATTTTAAAATTGGATTTTTCCTACCATTAGTTTGAACGGTCATTCTTTGGAAGTACCTAAATCATTAGATGTCCTTGAAGAAGTACACCCTAACTGTATTAAAGTAAACCCAGGCTTTCCAGTTACTCAGTAAATGCAGTTTTCCTGCTGCTGGTGGGCAGGTCTCTGTGACTACTTTCAGCTTTTTTGCCTCTGCTCCACACAGTCTACCACATAGATGGCCCTCAATGAGTAAGTCATTAGCTTAATAATAATTCCTGACAGGTTCTGAATGAGATATTCCAACAGATACTGCAGTGACTCCTGGGGTAAATAAAAGGACAGTTTTATCTTCGAGATGGGAAAGAAAGAGTACGCCACACTAAATGACTACCATGGTTTCTCAGGGACTAATTGTTAAGCAGGAATATTTATGATCAAAGGATTGGAGAACGGGGCTATCATTGCGAGGCAATTATCTATACACAAATAACCTTAATACTTTGGCGTTTTTATAACCACTGCATTATTTATTTTACTAGATATTCTATTGCAATACCATTCCCCTGGTTACGAGTACATGCTACTTCATTTATTTTTTTTTACATCATATAAAATTGAAATAAAATGGAGCAACACTTTGAAATGAGTTGAAGAACAATAGGTCCTATTTAACCATCAACTACAACAGTATTTAACTTTTGTGCTTTTGATCAATATTTATGTGACAAGCTATTCATTACTCTTCTCTACCAGTTTAATGCTGTTGTTCTTCCCACAGCCTCATCTGCACTTTTGTGTATTTAATTTATAACAGTTTCCATGGAAAAGAAGTATTCAAAGGAAAAAAGTGCTGATGCAGCACGTGGATCTTTCTACCAAACCACAAATCTTTTCTAAGGTTCATCTTAAACTGAAAGCAATTCTGGGAAACAAATTAATGATATAAATCACATTATCATTACTCACATAAAGATACTCTTGTAACTCTTTCAGAAAGCTACAGTGAGTAGCTAAAAGAACTCTATATGGAGAATGCCTGTTTCTAATTAAATGATCTAAAAATAGAGTTGCACATACATCTAGGACCAAGGCATCTGTGTTATCTCTCTAAGATAAGCCATTATCCACCCACAATGATATCCCTTTCATCACTGCAGATATTCAAAACTAGGCCTGGCCCTTCTTTCCCATTTAGGAAGGGAAAAAGTAAAAGGAAGCAAAATTTTAATCCAGACAAGATTTTTTGAAAGTCACATCCCTTGTTTCGAAATCTCTTTTCACACCTACCTCTGTCAATCAGCAGCATGACTCAGAACAGCGTCCCGCAAAGGGTGGCAGCAGTCAAGTAGGATTTCTCTATGAAATGCTTTCCCAGTGCAGCAAAGAAAGCTGTTTCTAAGGGGCTGTCTTGGCTGTTTGCATTATTTGTGTGTGAGGTTTTTTGCTTAGATTCTTTGGGGTTTTTAAAAAAAAAAAAAAATTAAAAATTTTACTTTTTTCTCCTCATTCTGACAATTAAAAGAACAATATTAAAAACAAGCTGAGTCAAAACTAGATCTGAGTGAAAAAGGTTGGGAAAGAGATTGCCCTGACATCTTTGGTGATAATAAACAACAACCTGTCTTCATGATTCCAGCAGGAGACAGAAAACAGCCCTTTTCTCCTAAAAACAGTATTATCAGCCAATGTCTGAGGGGAAAAAAGGAAGAAAGCTTATCAGGGCCTGTCAAAAAGGGGGAAACAACCCCTGCTTAGTCAGAGCCAGCGACAGATTATCCCCTCGTTAGGTAAAGGGAAAGCAGAGTGTGAAGGAGACACCCCTGACGCCCCCACAGAGCACCTGGGGGGCATCTCCCCTGATGGGCTCCAGGTAATGCCCCAGGCTGCCGGCAGGGAAGAAACATTATTTACACCTTTCCTTAAAGTTCTTGCTGTCAGACTGTATTTGACCAAACAAACATGTTTCTTGCATTTGCCCCTCCCTCAGTTTTGGGGCTGTTTGGGTGTTGTATGATACAATCTCAAGCAATGTATGTTAACTTGAAAAAAAGCCTATTTCTGCCATCAGAAATAAGAATGCTGCATAGCAGTAAAAATATATTCATTTCAACTAAAGACCTTATCCATTTAAATTAGGTAAGTAATAATTTTAGACAGCAGACTCTCTACAAAAATATAAAAAAAATGCTCTTACAACTGATGTGATGAAGTAAATGCATTTACTTTTCCCCAGAAACCTTCCAATTGTTATACACCTTAGAATAAAATAACAGGCAAAATGAAGACTAACCTTTGAATGAATGCCATTTACTGGTCTCCACTGTTCTCCATTCAGAAGGAAGGGAATTGTTATCTCGTAATCTTTTGACCGGTCCTTTGGCATCTGCTGTCTCGAGGACTCCAATTTTCCATCCACATTCTCTCCTAGGGACAGGGAGAAGCACTTCGGGTTAGTCAGGAACAGCATCTGACAACACCAACCTTTTTATTTAAGGGACCTGGCAGCATATTTCAAACGGAAATAATTCAGGAAAAGAATTAAACCTTAAAACATTGTGGGGTCATACTGGCAGTGTCAAAACCCACATTAATGTCTCAGAGAGCTGGGGTTCTGGGAGAGAAGTGTCCTGATTTCCACTGTTGATTAGATGGTGCGTTTCTGTGCAGCAGAAGACAAAGACTGCACATCAGGAGTAGAGATACCGGGATACAAAGATAAGGGGTTGGGATGCAAGACTTAAATAAAAACATTTGGGGAGGTATTGGCACCAACTATTCAAAGTGTTACTTTAATAAAAACACTAGAGTTTGGATTTTTTTCCATTGAAGATGAAAGCAGGGGGAACGTAAGTAGGTGGCTGGCTTTTCAGTGTCATCATTAGGAGGGCAAGCAAGCTGCAGGGATGTAGGAGAGATAAGATTTTATCAGAACTACTTTTCCACAATTAAGGTAAGAAACTAGCCTTGATCATTCCACTCCCCAATCCCTCTTCTCCCCATCCCTCTTCCCAGATGCAGTCACGCTGAATCCGATCCAAAGCAGCGGTGGTAGGAGGGGGAACAGTGCCCTGGGGGTGTCACTGGGACACTCCCCTGTGGCAAACACAGGCTCCCTACGGGCAGACAGTGACCCCAGAATTTCCCTTATGTCCCCCACATTTCTGCTTTGCAGGTCGGAGTCTCAGCACAGATGTAACAACACAGTTTGGGGTTCCTGAAATCTCCAGGTTTATTGCACACACTGATTGACCAGGTTTAATCCTCAGTATTTTATTATCCCCCAAATGCTTCTTAATGCACCATCTTAGTTGGCTAAACATGGAAGTGTGTGGTTGCACTCTGTTTTAACAAGTCTGAACTGTGTACAACAAAAAGCTGAGTATTTACTTAGCAGCCTCAGCATTTCTATATGAACATGCAAAGAGGTCACAAAGTACTGAGAACCCCGTAACGTCAAGGATGCACGTTCTCATTAGTGGGAAAAAAAAAAGGACTGGAAGAGAATATAAACCCTCACTGAAATAATGCCCTACTCCTACACAGCCAGACAACTTCAATTCATACTGTAGTGTCAAAAAGCTATTTGCATGCAACATT